AAAAAAAACAATTCGATCATGGATTACAAAAAAATCGATCAAGTATTACAAAAAAATATATCATGGATTACAAAAACAAAAACAAAAACAAAAACAAAACAAAAAAAAAAAAAAATTTCGTACGGGACTCGCTGATTCCGTACAGTGAATCGACGAGTCACTGTGCAGAATCGTCCGGTTCTCTCTAGAACCGGACGATTCCCGTTTTATTCGCCAATTCGATCCGTCCATGGCGATTCCCAAGTCGAACCGGGCGAGTCCGGTTCGACTCGGCGTTTTTTTAACCACTGCTCGTAGCAGAAAGTGCAACAGATCTACAATGGTTATCTGCATGCTACTCGACCAAAACCCCCCTGAGGATGTCCGATAGTATACCGACAATGTTTTACCTTTTATTGTTTTTTGTTGTATTTAAATTGTCCTCATTTTCTCCCTCCATTCTTTTTTCTTTACTTCTTCTTCCCTCTAGTTTGTTCTCTGAGCACCTAACTTGTAGGCTGTCGTCTTCTTTCACTCTACTTATGTAATTTTCTACTATTCAATATAAGTTAACCTTTCTTCAAAAAAAAAATGTGGTTACACAATTTTTTATATTTTTAGTTTTGATATTTGAAAGGCTTTCATTTGAAAGGATTTTACAATTTGTAAAAGCCTCTAATGAAAGAGGCAAAAACCTGTAAGAAAAGGGAAAATACAAAGAAAAACCACAAGTTAATTTTTTGGTGTATTTTTTATTTTGGTTTTTGAAGGACTTTTAAACTTTTCAAAGCACTTACTAAAAGTACAAAAACAAATGAAACAGAAATTTCTTTTGTGATATGTTACATAAAAACGGACACGCATGTCCATCAGTGACACAAATGCAAGTTTCAAAGATGTAAACCCTGAAAATTGTCATCTAGACATGACAAATGCATAAAATATATTGGTTTATGTGTGTGCGTGTTACGTATAGATTTATGGATATTGAAACTTTCGTGTAATTTCAATCTATATTCTCAAATAAAGTTGAAATCTTTTGCTCGTCAAGCTTTTTATCAAGATAAAGATAGTATTTATCACAAACAGTTGGTACAAAGTACATCAAAAAAATAAAGACAAAAGACTCAAGTACAACAAACTATCGAGTAAACTCAGTTTATTTTTTATAACCGAAAGCTTTTTATAGGACAATGCAAGTACTATAAACTGCCAAGAGAAAATTATATTCAAAGCCTAAGACAGGCTATGAAACATACTATCAATAAAAAAGAAAGTTATACTCGAATAAAAAGAATAGAGTAATCGTATAATAAGTACATTAAAAATATGTAATACGAATGGGACTATGAACCATACTATCAATGATAAAGAAAGATATACTTGAATAACAAGAATAGAGCAATCGTATAATAAGTACATTAAAAATATGTGATACGAATGGGTTTTAAAATTTATGGGCTTTTACAAGTTGTACTAATGTTGAATTGTTGATTGTGAACTATTTATTGCTTATGTTTATTGCTTATTTTTGTTTTCAATAATTTTATAATTTTCTGTTTTTTTCTGATTGTTCAGATATTTTCTACTTTTCCTTAATTTTATCTTTTTTCATCCTTTTTCCATTTTTTTTTCAAACTTCTAAGTTCACCAACAGTCAGAACATGGAACCAATCCCTACAGATATGAGACTGTGTGAGCTGGTTTTCTATTACAGGCTTCATCCATACTTTGCAAAGGGGGAACACATTGAGACACTCAAGTCTCATGCTTCGTTATCAACTATGTCACCCAGAGTACAAGTTTTTGGTACAAAAGTAACTCACAACAAGGCCCTCGCTGGAAATTATTTCAAGCATGGTTGGCTCCAATTTCTGAAGCAGTGTGGCCAGAGGACAAGTGATTTTTGTTATTTTATTTTATTAGGAATAATTTTGTTATACTTTTTACAAGTGCGAGTTTAAGAGAGGAGTGGTTGCCCAAATATTGGTGTCCAAATATTTTGTAAAAAAAATTAAAAATAAAATAGTATAGGGATGTGACATTGTGACTGGGGCCATCTCAGCCATCCATTCAGAATGGATGGTTGGATAAGGGGAAGTATACAAGTTTTATGATGTAGGGAAAGCATAGAAAGCTTGCCCTTTCTTAAAATGATCCCTAAGCTTCACGATCCATGTCAATGTTTTTGTTTCACCAAGATCTCACAAGAGTCAATGTAAAAGTAACAGATTCTGACACTCTCAACAACTAGCCGGCCAACCCAAAGCTTCCAAAGAACATAAATAAATTGTGTAAACTTCACTACCACACATGGAAACAAAGTAATGTGTGATTACACCCATGGAATCTCACCAGTTATTCTATATACGATTCACCAGTTGTTCTATATGCAATCCTTGAACATGGAACCTAAAAATCTTATTCGACCATTCAAAAAACAACACCAAATTCATAGATTACATGTATAAAAAGAAAATATAAAAGGAATACATATTCATACCAGAGAATATCAATAATAGCGCATCAAATGCCCCTCAAAATTACGTAGAACGCATGTCTAGTCCATGATGGAGACAGATCAAAATAAGGCAAAGCATGGTTGTCTCTATTGGTTTCAGTAACCCAACAAGTTTTCCAAATAAGAGAACACTCAAAAGAACAATATCCACAATATTCACCTAAACTCAGCTTGTAGTCCAGCTAAAGAAACACAGGGTGACCACCAAGTCAAAATTAGAAGAAAAAAAGAGGGTTCTTCTTCTATAGCTTACAATTAAAAGTTTTCAAATAATAGATACACAGTGTGACCACCAAATCAAAATTAGAAAAAAAACAAAACAAAAAGGAGGGTTCTTCTTCTATAGCTCACAATTAAAAGGTCTTCAAAGAATAGATAGTGCAACAATCATCACAAATATTTAGCGCAACAATCTACAATTGAATAAATGCTGACACACTAGCTATACACACTAGCTATAGGGCGTCATCTACAATACAATAAGTTCCACAATCCTCTGGTATTTATGCTCTAGTGACCATAAAAGGCACCAGTTCAAATCTTTTCTAGCTGTTTTGGCAGGTCAGGTATTAAAACCAAGCCCCAATATACTGATATAAATAAAAGGAGATAAAACCACAGGATAACCAAACAAATAATGGAAGAGATCATTATAAGGCCAAATGTAGATAGATAGAGAAAATGGGGTACCTTGGAAAGTTCCAAAAGTGCATTCTCCCTCTGTTCGGGAATAATAAGCTCGAGTACAAGCTGCTCTGGAATGGACAGCTTCCTATCTTTGGTGGCAGCAGGGCCAGAAGGGAAAGGGGGGTTGAGGGAAAGCGGTTGAGGTAGATTAGCCATGATCAAATTTTCAACAGAAACACAGATAAACCACCAATATGGCTGATGATAATGATACTCTCTACTTTCTCTCTCTAAAGCAAAGAGAAAAATAAGTCACCCCTCTTTCGGTCTCTTCCTCCTGTGACAGTATCTCTCTCTCCCTGATGGACTAGTGCCTCCGGTCTCTCCCTTGCACCTTCTTGGTATTCCAAATCTACGGAAGTTACAAATGGCAAGGTTACTCAGAGTTTTCGTTTTTAAATAACGAAAAGGGATTACATAAACGTTTTCCTTACCTAAAAGCGATTATATACATGATAGCATTTTCCTTTGGTATAAGAAGGTTGCAATTAATTATAATTATTTGACATGAAATTTGATAGCTTGTATTATAAAGTTTAATAAAATTTCTTTTGAAGTTTGAGATTAGCCAATGGAATAAATACAACCACCCAATTTTACATTCACTAGTCAAAATTAATTGTGACTATCTTGTGCTAGAGGTAATCTAGCCTCGTTGCTTTTCCTAAAGAAAAATGTTTTAATAGGGCTACAGCTCTATCAAATCACATCAACTAAGTAAAAGCTCACCTCAAAAATCGTAAATTGCAGTTTAGCGTCACCTCATCTCCACGTTGACCATTATGCTTATGAAAAATGCCATCCTATCAAAATAAATAAAGCATCACTTCAAAACTCTCATAAAATTGCAGTGTTAGCATCGAAAATCTTCAAAACGATCATCTTGACCTTAACCATTATAGTTGTGAAAAAAATTAGGATTCCAAGCTCTAAGAGTAGTATAAATTACAATATGTTATCTAGACCACAACTGATTTTGAAGTTTTTGTTCTTATGACAGATGGTTTTGATGTCTATGGTTTGTTCTTGCTTTAGATCATTAGTTAGAGATATATGATCTTAAATTCTCCTTCTCATACTTTGAAATACTCAACAATAAATAATAGAGCTCGGGACAATCAGGCCATTTTTCAAAATCATTTAATTCCCATTTTTACTAGAAAACCACCGGGTTTGCTACAGTTGACAAGGCAACTTTGGGGCAAGCTAGCGATTCACCCATTAGGAGCCATTCAGAAGGCATGAACTCCAAAGCAAAGTCTGATTAGGCAATTACCAAACGCTACAAGAACGCACACACACATGAAATAAAATGCAAAAGGGAAGATTCTTCTACGTTTATGAGAACTCATGGTCAAATGGGTCATAAGTAGGTTGCACAAGGTAAAGGAGACGCATGATGCAAAAAATGCTCGAGCTTTGCAGTATCAAAAATATAATCGTGCCTGAGGTTATGTCCTTCACATTGTGCCCCTCATGTGAATGGACAAATCCCCTCATTTTCTATAACCTAATTTACGACCCATGTTGAGAATGCAATAAATTACTGTTTATTCAATAACAGTATACATATTCATACACTTAGCTTCATAAGATCTAGCCCCTCTAGTTCGTATACATGACCAAAAATTGTGCAAGAGCAGATCACCATAGTAGCCTCAAATTTGTTATATTCATGAATCATGTTAAATAATCGATATGTATGTATGAACTAAAATAACCAATAATGTTTTTCTCGTATAGAAAACTAAAATGAAAGCATTTAACTGGAAAAGGGAGACTAAAACTTGACAACAAAAAAACATTTTTCTCATGATAGTCCATGCAGAAGATCCAATTTGCAAAAAGAAACGCATGAAAATGCGGTTAAGTTTTGCAGGGAAATCAAACATATTAAAATAGTTGTTTGATTAATAACAAGAAAATTATCAAATATGGAAATTTGAGCACTCAACCAGAAAATCTAAATATATTTAAGCATGCAATGACGATAAGATCTCCGCTCCTTTTCAGTATAGTGCTCCATTTTTCCAAAGAAAATGCATTTGTATATTCAAATTAAATAATAACAGGAAATTTATGTCAGAAATAAAGATGGAAATTATTCCTCTAAAACAAAAAGCAACCTTTATCATTGCCTTACTCAACATTCTTTTTCTTTTTTTGAATCATTATTCGTCCATTGCCCTGGTGTGGTGATCAAAATCATAAAGAAGACCATGAATCCCTCAAGCTACTGAGTACCATTGCCCATAAAAAAATTAATCAAAATTCCCTCACTACAATACTGTCGATTCCAGAACTCATAGTGGTTAACAGAAGAGTAAAAAGAGAATGAGAGAGATAGAGGGAGTCATCGCTTACCGTTAGGGTTTCTCAAACAAATCGAACCAGTTGAAAGCAGCTTTGTTGAGAGAGAATAAACGAGAGGAGCAAGTGCCTTCGAAAAACCTCAACCCGTTTTGCCCTTTAACCGTACACGATTTGCCCTTACACGATTTGCGGTTATACCAATCTCTCTCTTTATCTCTCCTCTCGCTCTCTGTAGCCCAGTTCTCTCTCTCTAAACCTGCACGCTTAGAAGTCCCGCCTTTACAGATACGATAATAGAAATTTACTTACCAAAAAAGAGTGTAGTTTTCTAACATCTCACCACTTATAGCGTATTGTTTTTATAAGGCCGCAACCTTAAACTATCCTATTAAGGCGCACTTTCAAATTTTATCATGTAATTTTGGTGTAAAACATTTTAAGGATCATCTTAAATTTTAGAGAAAATTACTTATATATCCGTTATATCTTTCGTTATTACTAAAATACCAAATACTTTCCGATATTACTGAAATGTTCGTTTTTTTCACTTCATAACAAAAAAATTTAAAAAATACGTTTTTACACTTTTTTAGTTGTTCAACAACCGAAATGGTTGGAATTTCGGTTGCTCAATAACAGAAAAAGGCCCCGATAGTTTTACGGTTCATCTTCTCTGCTCTCTACGTATATGCTATGTAAATGCTTAAAAAATAGAGTTTTACCCATTTTTGGTTTTTGAACAACCGAAATGGTGAACAGCCGAAATTAGGACTGCGTATTCTAGCAAGCTTTTAAAAAACACAGTCCTAATTTCGATTATTAAACAATCGAAAATGGGTAAAACTCTCTTTTTTAAGCATTCACAAAACTCTCTGTTTTAAGCATTCACATAGCATAGATGTAGAGAGCAAAGAAGATTAACCATAAAACGATCGGGGCCATTTTCGGTTGTTGAACAACCGAAATTCTAGCCCTTTCGGTTGTTGAACAATCGAAAAAGGATAAAAACGTCTGTTTAAAAAAAATTCATTATGAAGTGAAAAAATGGACATTCCAATAATAACGGAAAATATTTGGTATTTTGGTAATAATGGAAAGTATAACGGATATATATATAATTTTTCCTAAATTTTATTCTCATATTTAATTATACAATTTTTAACTCTAAAAATGATCTATAAACATTTGAAAATCTTGAAAATGGACAATCTAGATAGTGTGTTGCACGATGCACTATTTATGGGACTCAAAATCTTCTTTTTTTTCATATTCATACATCTCAATAACTAGATGATCAATTACAGGGTTTTTCAAAATAAAAACAATCTTTTCTGACGGATTTTTAAGGTGCATATGTAATTTTACATTTAAAGGTTGGAACATTATATAAACTTTTTCCAAAATTAAATGGTCTCTCTTGAATCTTGATACATTAAAGGTTTCTATACTTCCCCTACAGCATAGAAGAGCTATGCATCCCCTACCATCCAGTCGTCCAATTTTGATCAAGAGAACCACTCATTGTTTGATCTCAGATCTGATATCTCAAAGTACTTTATTTTTAGTTTTTTTTTATACAAATTGTATGAATATGAAATTTGGTGTGTGCCTTCTTCTCATTGGGGTGCACCTATAAGAAATATTATAAATAATTCTCCAATAAAATATAATGACCAAAATACCCATTGAAACTTTCAAGGGGTTATTTTGGTCATTTTATTTTATCGAAAATATTGTTTTTATATTTTTCGCTAGTGTGAGTTGAATAGAGGACTGGGCGTACAAAATTTGGTGTTAAAATAGTTTGTAAAAAAAATTAAAAATAAAATAGTATAAAGATGTGCCATTGTGATTGGGGCAATCTTAGCCCTCCATTCAAAATGGACGGTTGGATAAGGATAAGTATATAAGTTTTATGTTGTAGGGAAAGCATAGAATGCTTGCCCTATTTTTTTTCGTCATTTTAAGTCAATAAGTGCACAGAAGATATATAACAAATGTATTTTAGTGCGATTAATTTATGAGTTGAAAAGATTTTTTGTATTATGCCAGAGTTAAGGGGCAGACACCTTTCACAAAAATAAGGACCTAAGTCTATAGAGGTTCTAAGATAATTCCTCACCCTAAGGAAAAAGAGAAAGAAAAAGTGAGATATAGAGAAGAAAGTACTACGTGCTAAAGGAAGAAAGACAGAGAGAGCAATCTCCTATAGAGGTTCTAGGATAATTCCTCACCCTAACGAAAAAGAGAAAGAGAAAGTGAGATATAGGGAAGAAAGTACTACGTGATAAGGGAAGATAGAGAGAGAGAAAGCAAATCTCCTAAAGTTATTAGTCCTAACTAAAAGAAGAGAGAGAGATCAGAGAAGAGAGTACTACGTGCTAAGAGAGACATAAAGTATGCATATATTTTAGGGAAAGAGTGAGAGAGCAATCTATTCTATATCCTAATAAGAGAGAGAAAGAGAGATATCTACAATATCCTAATTAGAGTAGAATATCTCACCTCTATTTTAAAAGTTATACTTACTATGTCATAACTCTAAGGGCGTATTTATTTTTGGGAAAGTAGAATGTTTCGTTTTGGAAGATTTAAATAAGTTCTCGGTAATGCGTTTGATATCTTGCTAGAAAATTTTGGATATTCTGTTTAACAACAAATATATATTAACAATATAAATATAAATATATATACATATATTAACAATGGAAAAAGTTTGTATAAAATTGCTACCTTTTTTATTTGATAGAAAGTTCACTAAATTTTATTGCTCTTTAATGAAATTACAGATTCTGAAACGGATATATCAAAAACAGTAGTACCACCTTTGGCAAGGAAATCTGCCAAGGCATTCTCCTCCTTATAAACGTGAACAAAAGAAACAGAGAGAGAAGCAGATAAATCCAAGATTTGCAACACAACGGTTTCAGTTCCCACGGGAGAAGTAGTTCCTTCTTGCACCACAATATCACATTAAGAGAATCCCCCTCTAAAATGAACTCATGCCCAATTTCCTATCCACAATAGTACGAAAACCAAAAAGAAGGGCAGAGAGTTCGACGACGTTAACAGTCCGAACACCAAGAGGACCTGCACAAGAAAGAACCACATTTCCATCCCAATCTCGAATCACTCCTCCAAAGTCAGATACACCCGGGTTGCCTATCGAGCTGCCATCAAATTTAATTTATATACCCCCTGTGGCAGTGGCAACCATCTCCTATATTACACGAACAATGACTTGCGTTGCTTATATCTCCCTCGTCCGAGATCGGATCGCGTTCAAACTTGTTGGAGTGTGTTCGTCTCATTGAGACGAGCGACGGGACCCTATCCCTTTGTCGTCGCGTGCCTTCTATCCATTCTCTCCTCTTCTCACTTGATCGAAGGTTGACCTAGCCTAGCACTACTATATCAGCCACGGTTTCGAGTAGTATTGACATCGTGCTAGTCCTAAGTACCATGCCCATCTTACTACTACTCCGAGTCGGTCACTGTTCGACTATCAAGTTGGTCTCGTCCCTTCATCAAGTTTTCTTCTCTCTTCACCTACGTTCAAACCTTCCACTTTATCACTCTAACCCCTCACATTCCTAGTCGTATGAATGTGCATTGCCCTAAGATAAGGGTGGGCCCTTCGGCCCACTTGTCTTGCAAATTAACCATAATAGTGTTATGCAGAAAGACAAGAAGATTGCAGGTCAATGGAGGTGATTCCGAACCAGCTAAAACAGCTAGGGGGCTTTCCATCGTGATCTAAGAGGGCACCCACGCAAGTTAGCCCGAGTAAGTCACATACCCAGGTGAGGTTAGTCCCCACCTCACATCCAAAATTCCACTCTCATTAGTTGGATACCTACCCTTGTTCTTAAACAAGGTTCCAAGAGAGCGATATCAAGTCTCGGGTTTCCGAACTGTTAAAATGTAGAATCACAAATGCACCTCAAAAATCTATTGAAAATGTTGTTTTAATTTTGAAATCCGCTAATTGACCATCTCGACATCGAGATGTACGAATATGAAAAAAAAAGTTTTTAAATCCCATAAATAGTGTATCTTGCAACACATTATCTAGACCGCCCATTTTCAAGATTTTCATATATTTATAGATCTACTTGATTTTAACCATTTTTGGAATTTAAATTTTTCTAATTAGATATAAAAATAGATTTTAAGATAATCATAAAAAAAATTTACAAAAAAAGTACATGTTATGATAAAATTTGGAGGTGCGCTTTATTTGGATTGTTTAAGGTTGCAACCTTATAGAAACCGCACCCATTAACAATATAAATTTAAATATATAGGGTAGTGATTTCATGCAACGGTTGAATAGTAATATCATGCAACAACCTTCAAAAGCAATGTTAGGGCCATTTGTTTCATTCAAAATCTAAAATATATAATCTTTTCATTCTAATGAAAAAACACAAAAAATATAAATTTGAATACGCAACCTATACAGTATTTTTTTAGCCCAATTAACATAGGGTGTCCATTTTGGTGAGATGTTTATATCTAGGCTTTAGAATAATCTTTTTCCATTCTAAATTTTTTAGATAACTTTATTATCATTAGATTAACAATATTAAAAAAGAAAAAAATGATTTTGAATTTATAAAGTCCTAGATCTTGAAATTCATCAATAGACTTATTTGGACCATATATAGAGTGCAAATTACCTTCTTCTTTTTTAGATTAATAGCAAGGAAATAGATTATTAAGAAATTTATCATTCTGGTGTTTGGGTATGTACATGGTAGGCAGGAAATAAAACGCATTACCAAAAATTTCCTTCAAATCGTGAAATCAATTACCCGCCCCAAGAGCTGGAAAATGCATTATGGAGTTGACGGGTAATGTGGAGCATGATGGACCTGCTACAAAACATACAATAGACCTCATAAATTTGAGGTCGATATATAAGTGTGACTCTCTCTCTAAAGCCTTGCCTAAATTTGAGGACCATAACTTTTTAACTTTACCTAAGTGCTCCTCTCCCTTTTCTCTTTCTAAAATATTCACCCTTTTTTTACGTAATGCCCTTCTTTCTGTAAGTGTTCTCTGCAAATTTAAATGTATTGGTACTTTTTTCACTGTACTCACGTCTTCAAAATATTGTTGTTATATTAATATGAGCATTATAATTGTTTTTTGTTTATTTTTAATTGATATTTTCCTTAATAAAAAAAAAATATTAAGAGATATTAAAAAATTACATTCCTATAGGCAAATTTTATGCAATATTTCCAAGCCAAAATGACGGTAATACATTTCTTAGATTCCTTCAAACATAG